GTGCGCGCGTGTTTCCGTGGCTGTTTTCAACGCGCATCGTCTCAGCCGGCCCGGCCCACGTGCGCTGCGCAAGGGAAGCCGAGCGATCCCCGCGGGCTGCTCCGCGCCTGGCTTTTCATTCCTTGCCCGGCCGAGCAGAGTGCATAAGCACGGCTAATGCCTCTCTTTCCGCTGCAAATGCCGTGTCTGGTACACAGGGCTCAGGTCTGCGTCTTTCCTGTCTGCTTCACATTGGTGATTCATCCTGCAATGAGCAAACACACCCAGGGCGTTTTGCCTCTCTCTCCTGGCTGTGGCCAGCAGAATCCTGATCATAAGAGCAGAAGATGTAACTTTGTGTTGTCCTTGTTCTTGTAGCAGCTCAGTTTTGGGGAGTCAGGGTTTGCCCCCGTAGGGTGCTGTGCTGGGTATATGGTACTCCATGGCACTTTACCCTGAGGCCGAGGCTGCTCCTGAGCATTAAAAACAAGCGTGTTTCAGGGATGCCACGTGCCTGTTGGCCCTGGGCTGGGACTCGCCCTGGGAACCTTGCGTCTGGGCTGTGAAGCTGTTACTTCAGCTTTTCTAATCTTCTGTTTCCAGGCTGTGAGCTGACTGGCAGTACCAAATCCTACACGTTTAAGGTGGATGAGGAGGATGACTCCGAGCACGTTTTGGCTCTGTCTGTGGTAAGAGAGATGAGAATTAGCTGTGTTTGTCCTCTTCCCTGGCAGCCCATAACCTCACCCCTCCTTGCTGGGCTCACTCCCCCTCGGCTGGAGGCCTGGACCAGGCAGTTCCTGTACTGAGGTCTCTGCACTGGCTGCCCCGAGGGCAGGGTGCAGGACTGGTGCTTATAAGCCTTGTATGAAGGTGCGTGAGCCTGGCTGCTCAGAGGGGGAATCCTCTGGACACAGCGTGAAGGAAGGTGTTAGACCTTGCTGGGCCCTCCTAGCAGAACATGGAGACCCGTGGAGCTGGGTCTCCAGCCTGCTGCTCTCAAAGCCCAGGTAGACTCAGGGCTTTGTTAATGTATTTCCTGGCTCTCCCTGGGGGTCGCTGTCTGTCCTGGGAGTGCAGGAACTGCCAGCATGGATCAACAGAAAACGCAGCCCAGGTGCCGCCTCTCGAGGCAGCTGCAGGAACAACTATCCCAGGCACAGAGCTCCTCAGCTGGCGGTAAAGGGGCAATTGCTGCAGGGAGGAATTTTGTGCTCTCCCAGGAATTTGCCAGCAGCCAGTCTATGCCTTTGTGCAACAAAGGTTCATGTCCCATGACTTGCCGTTTTAAGTAGCAGTGTCTGCACACAGTCCTTACAAAGGTGCTAGGCTGGTAGCATTGCTGTGGGTCATTTATCCCAAGGAGAGCCCCAACCGTCCCTGCTTAGTCCCCTGGGAGAGCAGTAATTCACAATCTCTGCTCCCTCCCAGGTCTGCCTCACAGATGGTGCCAAGGACGAGTGCAACGTGGTGGAGGTTGTTGGGCGAAATCACGAGAACCAGGAGATCGCTGTACCTGTGGCGAATCTGAGGTTGTCATGCCAGCCCTTGGTAAGAGGATATCCTGAGCACCCAGGCAGGGATGACTGCAGGGGACTGGACATCTCTGGATATTTGTAAACCTTTTTCCTAGGATCTTGACCATGAGCTGATCTGTAATTCACTGGGAAATGCCCTAAGAAGCCGTGGCCCGGCTGCAGGTGCCCCCCGAGCCTCCCGGTGTTTGCACATGCTGCTACTGGGCTCTGTGGAGTTGGTCCTGGCTCCAGGTCTCCCAGCCCCTGCATCTTGTGGGGCAGCCTCGTGGGACTGAAGCCTGGTGACCTGCTGTCTCTGTGATGCCCGTTTGCCTTTGATGAGGGTAGCAATGCAGCTCTGTGGCTTGTACAGAAGATTCATCCTACCAAATGTTTGCATGGGATACAGAGATAATTGTTTCTGGTAGATAACGGTAGTGATAAGATATGGTGGAGGCTGGGAAAAGGAGGTGCAGAGGGGTATGGTCTGGGCTGGGGGGCATCATTCTCTATCTTCTCTCCCTGATCTCTAGGTGGACAATTCAGAGACCAAACTGTGCCCTTGCTCCCCTCACTTCTCCTGTGGTTATTGTAGGGCACCAGCACCCTTGCCACCCCACTTTCTGCCCAAGCTAAGGCCATGTTTAACAGGGCTGTGTGCCCTACTGGGCAGTGCAGGACATTCTGCTTATTGCTTCTGCCACTAACAGCTCCTTCCCTCTGTCTCTTTGCAGCTAAGTCTGGACAACTTCCAGCTGCAGCCTCCAGTGACCTTCCGCCTGGTGGCAGGCTCTGGCCCCGTGCACCTCGCTGGCTGGCACCAGATCAGTAAGAACCTGTGTGTGGGGAGAGGCTCGGGAGGAGTGAGGGGTATGAAGGGGCTTTCCCCAGCACTAACACCTGTGGGGATGCCCCCTCTCCCTGGGGGCGATGTACCTTGGTGCTGCTCAGCACGTGTACTCAGTGCCTCTTCCTACCCCTTTGTGCTGGTTCCCCAGGGATCGTCTCCCTGGTGTTGAGCCCTGACCAGGAAAAAGGTCTAGATGACCCACGCTGTCTGCTTTTCCCACACCTTTCTGTCACCGTTCCCATCTGAGATGTTCCTCCAGGTGGGGCATGGTCTATTGCCCATGAGCTCTTTGGGCTGCTCTTCTCTTCGAGTGTCTTGGGGGCAAACTATATTTGCAGAAGTGGGTAACAGTTATCTGTGTGTCCCAGCGCACAGGGAGGATGCCTCCTTTGAGGAGGACGACGACATGTCTGAGGAGGAGATTACTCCTGTCATGCCAGCCAAGAAGCAGAGAGGGAAGCAATAACTGGCCTCCTAGCAAGGTGAGGGGCTGGGCAGCCCTGTAAGAAGTTTCCCAGTGATGCTGCCATGGGAAATGCCATGGGTGGAAGCTGTCCTACTGTGCAGTGGTGGTGCGGAGAGGGAACCACTGCAGGAGGCTGCTGGTCTCAGTCTGATTCTTCCTTCCCCAGGTACTTGCTGGAACTCTCCCTGGGATGACTTTTACCTCGGACACCTCTTGCCAGGACCTCAACTTTTGCTGCTTTTTGCTGTAACTTTTTTTGGGGGTGAGGGGCAGGAGCTGCTGCCAGTACTGGGGAGGCCCCTCTCCCATGGCCCTAGGAGGCTGATCCCAAAACTGAGTTGGTGCTGGTGGTATCTCCCCTCTCCCTCCTCTCTGTTCTGGGAGTCAGGCCTGGCTGAGGGAGTCCTTGCCCTGTGCCTTTCTGCTGTTCTGGACCTCTGCTCTGTGCACCCTTGTCCTTCTGGCTCTGAAATGCCCAGTCCTGGCACTTTCTCCCAGGGCTGGATGTACAGCCGGGGTGGAGGACAGTTTCACTGAGATCTTCAGATGTTTGCTTTTCTTTTCATACAGCTTGATGGTTTTTATACAGTCAGAAGTGTTATGTGAAACCAGGGCCCAGGCTGCATCCTCACATGCAGGATGGTGGGGTGGGAGCTCATGGTCTATTCGTGATTTGGGGAGAGGCGCTAGATCAAAATGCTTTGTAAAGAATGGTTTTTACACTTCGAATAAAGATCTCTCAGGCATCAGCTCTGGAGTGGGGGTCACGCTGGTTGGCACGTTCCTCCCATGCTCACTGCAGTGGGAGGTGCTCCATGATGTCCAGACCCCTGACACTTGCCTCCTTTGGTCCCCTGAAGATGCTGTGGATAGGTTGGTTGCAGAGCTCCCTGGAGATGCCCAGGGTCTCCTCTCTCTCCCTTGCGGGCCGTGTGTACTTGCGCCCTGTCACCCAACCCAGTACTGCATCCAGGGTGCAAAGGAAGGGGCAGAGCTGCAGGTGACTGCACTGAGCAGGGATCCAAAGGAAAGGTTACTCAGCTGCTAGTATCACCCCTCCCCCCCCCCACCCAGTTTGGGCTGCACCCATCCTGGTGCTGTGGAGCAGCCCATATTGATGCTCAGAGCAAAGAGGTGAATCCTGCTCCTCACTTGTGTCCTCACCCTGGCCACATGCTGCAGAGGTGGGGAAATGCTGGAGGCTGCAGGGGATGGAGTAGGTTTGAGCTCTGGCCTCTCCAGGGCCTCCCGCCCCCATGTCTGGGCACCTGTGGAGGGGCTGATCAACCTACTGGTCCTGTCCTCAGTGTGTCTCCAGCAACTTCCCTGCATTCAGGCCTTGTGTCCCTGGCCCATGGGTCAATGCCGATCGTGGCCCTCTTTGTTTGTGACAGTGGCTGTTGTCCCCAGGAAACACCATGTACTGTCCAGCCCTGCAGGTGTTGTTGGCACCTGGAGACAGCAAGTTGCTGGAGCTGTGTGGACTCCCATGAGAAATCCTCTGGGGTGGATCCTTGGCTCTGACTTGTGGGTGGGGCCATTTGTCTCCTATGGGGCCTGTCCTGCTTCCCTCCATGTCCTGTATATCCGCTGTTTGTTTCTGGCCCAAACAGCCTTTGCAGCCTGCACAGAGGGGGCTCCAAAGTACCAACCTGCCCTCATGCACCCAAAGAGCGAGTGGTGGGAGCAGCCCTGGCTTAGCAAAGGGAGAAGGGCTATTCCCGGCCCAACGTGATGGAATGGAGCTGTGCTCTGGGGACTGTGCTCGGTGTTGATCAGGATGCATCAGAGGACAGCGCAGAGCCAGACTTGGCGAGGCTAAATCCCTGGCTGGTGCATGGCATCCTGCCACCCTCTTGCAGCGTGGGTGGAAGATCCCTGGAGGCAGCCCTGGCCCTGTGCCAGGGGTCTGGAAAGAGGTGGCGGGGGTTACCCCTGTTACCTGGGAGGGGACCCACGGCATAGGGCAGGCTAGGGGGGGGTCCAGCCCGGAGGCACAGCGCTCTAGTGGAGCGTGGGGCCCGGGACACTGTGATGGCTGGCAGGTCCCTCCTTGGGGACCACTAGATGGCAGGCGGACAGCGCGGTGGCCGTGCACATCCAGCTCCCACGGCCTGGCCCTTGCAGACGGACCGTGGGGTCCAGCCGGCTTCAGGCTTCTCTCCTCCCCTGTGCCCGACTCACTGCCTGCCCCTGCCAGGCCAGGGGTGTGCAGGAGAGCTGGGGGCTTGCGACAAGGCTTGGCCATGCTCCTGGGTTTGGGGGGGGCCGCCAGGATGCCACGGACATCTGGCACTCTTCCCCCACTCCATAGGTCCCTGCATGGAGCGGCATGCCCAGTGCTGGCCCAGCAGAGCGAGCATCAGTGCCAGCTGGGTGCTGGGACTGTCCTGTGACCCACACCTCCCCATAACCCCCAGTGCGTGGACCCCCTCCCTGGCGCAGCTACAGAGCGGGGTGAGATGGTGCCCACAGGGGCCCTCGGATCCGGGGCTGTTTGACAGAGGGAGCAGGCTGCGAGGGCAGGCCCCGTTCCCCCTGCTCTGCTGAGCCATCCCGTGGCAGGGGGCTGCGTGGGGCGATGGGATAGCCAGGGCCGGTGGTCGGTGCCCGTGTCCCCCTGTGCTGGGAGCAGGTGGTGACAAGCACTGCGAGATCGCCCAGCGGGTTTTGTTGCCTAGGGGAGGTTTCTGGGGAGCTTGGCGATTCGGCACCCTTGTTTGCTGAAGAGATGCAAGAGCTTTTCCTCCCTGAGGGCTGGGTACGTGCACGAGATGCTGGCGCGAGGGGCCAGCGCA